AATAGAGTACTGTATATCTACGTTAAAATGTTGTATAAAATCGCTACCTATAATACCATCGTAATGTAAACTAATTGTGTCGTCAATGGAAACAAAAAACTAAATACTATCTTACTCTTAGAAGAAATCTGGTATTCAAAATCAATCTTAATAGACCCAAGAGATGAGCAAGTGGAGTCATTATCACTGAGACCTTTCATTGTAATTATATCAGTCCCTATAATTGGTTGATTTAATAAACTAGAATATTTCACAATAGAAATCGATGAACCAGTATCGATAAGAAAACATAGGGGCTTTTCATTAAAATTAGTCTTTAACATAACGTGAGGCAGAGAAATATTATTATTAATAATATTTATTGTATAGGTTTTCTTGCGTGTGCCAACCCTAGAGAGTGACGTAGATTTTTCACAATTTATGACGTCACGTTGGCAACCATTAAATTTTTTATTACAAAAATTATTAGAAATTAAAACATTATTTTTATTCATTTGACTCTCTGATTTTTTATTACCCTGTGTTAAAAATGACTTAGGAACACAGAAATCGAGTTGAAGTGGAGCATATCAATTCAGATGAAGATGCATCAAAATTAGGATCCTGTGCAACCGAGAATTGACCACAGGTGCGACCTTGAGACTCCATTGAAGACTCGTTGAACGTAGAATTTAAAAAATGTTCATCAATTTTTTTTGGCATCCGTGTTTTATAAAATAATTTAGGAACACGGGATTTAGAAATATTAATAGGTTTCGTATCATTTAAATTAATAATACATTTCGGCAGACACGGCACCGAAACCCTGTTTAGTTTAAATTATCATTGTTATTTTCAGAGGCGCAAACAACGTGTACATTAGAGCGATTATTGTCTGGCGCATTACTAGTGCTCGGTACTCGTGTACTTGATAGTGCAGTACACTCATCGGGGCGTATATTATTGTTTTTAAACTTGAGTTTGCGACACTCACTTATTAAATGACCTTTCTTTTTGCAATATGCACATATTTTATTTGGATTAAAATTAGAATGAGGTTTATTATAATAATTATTTGGATTATTTGAATTTTTATTATGCAATAAATTAAAATTAGAGTTAAGATGATGGAGGTTAGGATTAGGAAACCTTTGATTTATTTTTGTAGCACTCGGAAGAAGTGTGTCCAAGTTTGTGGCAAATTGAGCACGATTTGGATGAGCGCAGCGATAATTTACTTAATTTAAATAACTTTTTCTTTCTCGATAGCATGCGTAATCGCCTCGGATTCGGATTCGGATTCGAGGGTTCCTACAGCGTACAATATGCGAATAACACGAATTCATGCCCAATAAGAAAATATTTAAAGCTAAGTCTTCCGTTGCTGCAAGTCTACCTAAAAGTTCTTTTTCATACTCACAGCTGTAGTGAATGTCGGATTGGATCAGCGTAAGGCACGATTCAATCCTTAATGAATACTGTGTCACATCTTCAGAAGGCAACTGTTTACAATTTTGTAGGTCTACAAGTAAATGCGTTGCTGATGTTTTTTCTCTCCGAATATTGATTTAAGAAATTGTTTTAATTCGGGCCAACTACTAAATTTCTTTAAGCAACAAGCTAATTGTGCTTTTCCTTCAAGTTGGGACACAATATATTTAAACAAAACATTCTGTTGGTCTGTACTCGCCAATGAAATTGCATTTTCGCAATTTGCAAGAAATGCTGGCAAAGACTCGCAATCCCCATTGTAAGGCTTAACGAATTTGATAAGGACTGAAAGGGTGATTTTTTTGGACATTTTTAATTTAATATCTTTCCGTGTTGGATTTGATACCGACAGTGAACTATCTGAGGAGTCAGAGTTCTTGTTAAATAAATAAATAAATGTTAACTTCTTCAGCTTTTACCTTTTTAGAGAACATTAATTAATAGGTAATATTTTTAAAATACAGTACAGATCATCAGAACACAACAAAATATGTCAAACAAATAGGTATTAAAAGACAATGACTTAATGTTAAAATGATGTTGATAAAATGTTGTTGATAATAATGTTAGCCTGCAGGGTCAACCGCTTTTCAAATTTTTATACAGGGCAAAAGCATGCCTTTTTTATACAGCACAAATCATGCAAAGGCAGGGAATTTCTTTTACATCATAGTTAATTTATTATATAGCTGTGCTTCTTTATATAATACGTTTTATTTCCGTAATTATTACGCGAATGTATTTTTGATTATCTTGTTAACCGTTTTCCTTAGACCTTGAATGGTCTAAGCCGTTTTCAGACTTCACAATTGATGGTTAAAGTTAGCTTTGTGCGTATTTCTCTAAATAGATTTAATTCTTATTAGGTACTTATACATGTTTTGAGTTTTACACCTACATTTTTGGTAAAGACATAAGCTTAGTATGTATATACTTATATTTTTACTGTTGGGGTGTGATATTCATATTGAAAAGCAATTTTACAATTTAATATTGAGATCTTTGAGGTTCAATCTTATTCGTTTTAGCGGCTGAGCGTCATATTTCTTTAAGGTATTCTAAATGCAGTTTTATCATATTATATATAGTACTGCGTACTGGTTTTGGGAAGCAACGGATTGCAGCACATAATAAACACTTATGTGATACTAGACCACATTGTAATTTTTCTATGTGTGGACTCGACGATAACTGACTGTGATATTAATATATGTTAAGTTCTAGAGCCGTGGTAGCTCAGATGGTTAACGCTCGCTGTAAATATAACACGCGACGGTTTATCTCCGCCGGCACCAATGAAATTGTTAATTGCAATTTTAAGAGCTGATTTACCACGTGCTTGGCGGTGAAAGAAAATATCGTGAGGAAACCTGCATGTCTGAGGAATAAGAAAAAAAAAGTATTTTCGAAGACATGCGAAGTTCGCCACCACGCATTGGGGCTGCGCGGCGGACACTTGCTTGCCCTAAAACCCTCTCAGAAATGAGAGAGAGGCCTGTGCCCAGCAGTGGGACGTATATAGGCTGAAACTTTATTTTACTTAAGTTCTAGAGATATTTCAAAGCTTACTTTTGTTATTGGGTCGTTATTCATTGTAAATATTACATTGGTTTGAACGTTTTTATTTAAAGCACTTGAAATTAATGTATTTGATTTTTAATAAATTGATTGTCGAAAACATATTTTTATCTATTATTATTATTAATTAGATCATTCAGGACGTCCTTCAGAATATTTTCAACTGCATCTCTTTATTAAATAAATATGTATTGTCTACGTACAGCGATATTAAACCGATTTCATGAATTTTGTTTATATAAAAAAATTTGGTGTACCTACTTTGGGTATCACCTATTTTGACGTACTAGGTATCTATTGAACGAAAAATTTTAAGAACGTGTTTTGACGACAAAGGTTTTGTAGGAGCAAGTATGACTAATCGTATCAAATGCCTTTCTAAAATCAATCAATACTCAAAGAGCTACGTTTTGTCATTTAATATGTAATTCTCAGAGTAATTACTAGCATAAAGGGAATCCTAAAATAAGCAAAAAATTCTTATAGTTGAGCGCTTTATGCACATGACATTATATTTGGTACGAAGTAAGGTAGCTATAGCATTCTCACCTTCTTTCTTTTACAAGGTTCTTTGTCTATAACTTAGGAAGTAATTATTATAGGATTTTGATTAATCTGGTTCGTATGATATTTACTTATATCAACGAACATTAATTGAATGTTCATCTGACATCTTACAACAAAAACGGTGTCGGTTAATGGGGGATTTCGCACTATCGTCGTAGGTCAAAACATATTGTTCAAAAGTTCACCATGAAACTACTTAAATTCTGCTGGTATATATGTCTGTCAAATTATCCTTAGCCCTATTATGGGCTTCACAAAAAATATTAACTGTAAACATGTTATCAAATATCTATGAAATATTTTATTGATTCATGTTTGTTTAATCGACACCGGGTTTGCTTCACGGAACGTTCACAGAGGGCACGGCTACAATAGTACAAATACGGCAGTATGACCGCGGTTTACCTACTCTTTTCTTGCCTCACCACAACTACCACTAAATCGATTACCAAAGTATTAACCGTTTTCCTCTCAGATATTATCCACCATTCATTCAATAGTTTACAGCCGATCAAAAAGTCTACTGCTGAACATAGGCATTCCCCATGGATTGTCTAGTAAGGGGATTTTTGCCATAGTTCTCTAGATGTAATTCTTTGAATTTATCACAAAATTGTCCAACTATCAAAAGCTACGTTAGCCTAATTTATTTTATTTTATTGTTTAGAAACCAATCATGGCTATAATCTATACATATAAATAAAGTTGACGTATCTGTTTTTTTAATAGAATAAGGGTTACAAACGAGCACATGATCCACCTGATGGTAAGTCGATGCTGTGGCCCATATGTATTTCTTTAATTTTCTTCTATAGCATGTAATCCTTTCTGCTGTTCTTGATGTGACAAAATCATCACCAGTCAAATCGATTGTTGTGGAAGGTTGCAATGTTTTTCAATATTTACATTCTACGAGCTCATTGAATATACTTTGTGTTTGAGATGCTTTCAAGTCATCTATGTATTGTATATTATACTACATTTCGCATTTCGACCTATATCTATATTACCATTCCTCTCTAAAGTACTTGAACATATTGTTAACAATCAGTCTTCTTAATTAGAGATGAAACGGATAACAGTTTGGCCGGATACCGGATACAGGATATTCGGCCGACCAAGTGGCCAGATAGCTGAATATCCGGCCGCCGAATATCCGGCGAAACTTAGCCGTTTGCGTAGGCGTCGCGCGAACGATCGGATGGACTCGGTTCGATTCGGATCTTTTCGTTGATGAGTGAAGTTAACAATTGTAAAATTTTATTATTGTGTCGATTGCATGCAGTGCAGACACGTGCGTGATCGTTTTTAGGTTATAATTTTATTTGTGCTCTTATTATTTTAAGTACATACATACATAAGTCTAAAAGATTTAGCAACGAGAAATGGCATCGGTGAAGAAAAGATCGCCTTTATGGGAATACTTTGACATAAGCAGTGAAAATAAAAAGTTAGCTCTTTGTTTATTATGCAATGTTAATATTTCTCGTGGCGGCGAAGGGAAAAAAGCAGGTATGTATCTAATAATAAATAATCTAATTGCAATAATTTTAATACCTATCAAGTAAAATAATATCTTGCAAGTTTCGTAACATATTCAATAATTATTGATTTCGCGGTATTTCGTTTTTTAGGTATTTTTCGATAGGCATTACTTAAACGACTGGTAGTGGTAGCTATGAAGCTGTGTTTTTTTATTGTAATTTATTGATTATCTACCTACGAGTATCTAGTTGTTAGGCACATATTATTTTAAGTAAATATAATGTTTAATGTTATTTATAGTAGTATTTCTATTTTTATGGTATACCTACTTATTTTACCTTTATTTATTTATACCTAATTAAGTCATTTTTTTTAGGTACTTCTGCTATGAAAAATCATTTAAAATCAAAACATCCAGATGAATTTAGTGCTTTAAATAAAGACAAGAACGCTGTTGAGCCTACTACAGTTTCTATAGCCATTGCGGGGACAAGTTCATCTTCAGTAGCAAAAAAGCAATTGACTATGACAGAATCTTACGAAAGGAAATTGCTCTGGGATATAAATGATACTAAAGCGAGAAAGTACCATTATTTAGTAGCTGAAATGATTGCACTCGACAACGAGCCATTGTCCATAGTGGAAAGAACCGGTTTTACCAGGCTCTTAGAACAAGCTTTACCCCGCTATAAATTGCCAAGCCGGACTTATATTACCCAAAAAATCGTTCCTGATATGTATGACAGAATTTACGAGAAAATCAAACGTAACATTTCGAGTGCCTTCGGCTATTTCAGTGACATCTGACATGTGGACGTGCTTACACAATAATGCTAGCTTTCTGAGTTTTACAGCTCATTGGATATCATCTGAATTTAAACTAGAACACGGAGTTCTGGCAATGAAGCCTTTCTCAGGTTCACACACAGGAGAAAATATAGCAATGGAACTCAACAATGTCGCAAACCGCTGGGATATTGAGCACACTAAAATACATTTATTCATTCATGATAGTGGTGCTAATATGGTGAAGGGTGTTCGTTTGGCTAAATACGATTCTGCTAGATGTTTTATACATACGCTTCAAAGAGCCATAAACGAGTCGCTCAAAGTCCAGACTGAAGTAACAGCAACAATTGCTGCTGGAAGGCGACTTGTGACGCACTTCAATCACTCAGGTCTAGCTCAAGAAAAACTGCTGAGGATCCAGAAAGAGCTAAGTGTACCCGAGCATCAGTTAGTGCAAGATATTAGCACTAGTTGGAATTCCACTTTTTACATGATTGAGCGTTTGTTAGAACAGAAGCGGGCCATATCATTGTATGTTGCTGATCACGATACGCTCATAAATTTGACAGCTCAACAGTGGAGTTTGGATGCAGCAGATGCAGAGTTCTGATGGAGCAGTGTATCAATTTATTAAAGCCCTTCGAAGAAATTACTAAAATGACAAGTTCTGGACTATCATGCGTGTCGGAAGTTATACCACACATTACTGCTTTAAAAAAATACTTAGATAAAACTGAAACTGAGCAAAGAACTCCTGATTTATCACATATGCGAGCCTCGTTAAAAGCTGAGTTAGAAACTCGTTTTACCTCCATAAGTCAAGACTCAAACTACTTGATTGCAACTTATCTAGACCCTAGATTCAAAACAAACTACTTGGGGGTGATTGAAGCTGCAAAAGCACGCCAGGAGATCTTATTGGAATATTTGAAAATGTCTTGTGAAGAGTCTTCAAGTAGCAGTTCATCTTCAACACCGGCTAAAAAGAGTAGAGGAGAGGAGACAGAGCCAGCTGTATCTTGCAAAGCTCATGACACATTTTGGGACTGCTTTGATGAAGTAGCAAATGAAAACAACACTGACCAAGTGCAACGTGAAGAAAGAAATGCGATAACCTGTGAGCTGGATTTTTATCTCAAGTCAGTGCGAATTGATCGCACTTGCGACCCTTATTCTTGGTGGGCAGCTAATGCCAAACAATACCCAAATTTAACAAAGTTTGTCAAAATCTACCTTTCTGCTCCTTGCAGCAGTGTGTATAGCGAAAGACTTTTTTTCTGAAGCTGGGCTTATTTATGAAGAGAAATGCAACCGCCTGTTACCTCTTAATGCAGAGAAATTACTATTTATTCACCATAATTTGCCCTTAGTGCAGTATGAGTATTAAATGTACCTACTAATTCATTCATTTTCCTTGTATTACATTAACTTACTATTGTGTAATTAAAAATTTAATACTTGAACTAATTATATTTAAGTAATGTGATTCTTACTAAATAAAGCAAATAATTACTCAAAAATATGTTTTCTTTTATCCAGCTTTTTTTAACCTAATAGTTAACCGAAATTTTAACCGAATAGTAGCTATCCGGTATTCGGCCGGATAGTATTATGGCGGCCGGATAGGCCGGATACCGGATAGTTACCGGATATCCGTTTCATCTCTACTTCTTATCTTAATTCCAACAATATTTTAAGTATATTTCAATCTGGATTCCGGCCCGGTCAAAGTACAACAACTGCTCTTCTTCAGGAAACTGATGATATTCGTCGAGCCATAGATCAAAACAATTAACAGTACTCGTTTTATTAGATTTCAGCAGTGCCTTTAATTCTGTTGACTCTGATATCCTCTTAAAAAGTCTCCAGTTTATTAATGTTTCACCTTCGGCCATTCTCTGGTTTGATTCCTATCTTCGGGAACGCTCACAATGTATCCGTTCTAATGACACTTACTCCAACTGGTGTAATATTATAACAGGTGTACCCCAGGGTGGCGTCTTGTCTCTTTTGCTCTTCACCGTTTTTATCAATTCTATAACAAAAATAATATCCTCGAACTTCCATCTTTATGCAGACGGTTTGCAGCTTTACCGCCAATTTGTGGCATCTGAAGCTAAATTGGCGATAGAAGCACTGAATGATGACTTGAAGAAAATTAGTCGTTGGTCCAGATCACATGGTATTACTATAAATCCTAGTAAGTCTCAAGCAATAATAGTAAGTAGCAGATATACTAGTAGCTTAATTGATAAATGCACCCTGCCAGATGTGATTAAATTGCACATCAATTGCGTATACTGCGTATACTGAATCGGATTTAAGCAGAAAAGTATATTATGCTTTCCGCTTATTAAAACGTCTTCGAAGTTTTTTACCCTTATCAATGAAAATCTCTCCTGTTCAAACTCTTATTTTGCCTATCTTAGATTACGCTGATGTCTGTTTTTTGGATGCCACAGAGGAGCAATTAAACAAATTTGAGCGATTGCAAAACCTTTGCATTCGGTATATTTTCGGACTCAAGAAGTTTGACCACGTCTCTAAATATAGAAAGCAACTCAAGTGGCTCCCGACCCGATTTCGCATTTCCTCCTTTTTAACATCCTACAGAGCCCAAATTTTCCTACATACCTCCGAAATCGATTTACCTTTCTTAAATCCCCAGATACAGTTTGTAGATCTCACCTTAAAACCCTCTTAAAATTCCCATCCTTTAATACTCATTCATATTCCCGTTCATTCTCCGTACAAGCAGTAAGATTCTGGAATTCGCTTCCTACTCACATTCGAGAAATCAAAACAGTGACATTGTTCAAAAATCGAGTGAAAGAACATTATTTATCGCTTCTATGTAAGTATCAAATCTTTAATATTTACTATACTGTTACAAATATATGCATGTACATATATTTATGTATGTATCTGTGTGTATATATATGTTTATATATTAAATTATGACATATCCGTGGGGTCCTAGCGCTATAAGCCTTTTTTAAATGTGGATATATTTATGAAAATTAAATTACTTTCTTTCATATAGAAAAAAAATTATGGTTTTATATTATAGTATTTATGTATGTATTAATGTGTGTTTAAATATGAATATATCTATGTATTTGTATATATATATATATATATATATATAATAGTATTTGGGCTGACGTATGTATTTATTTTATCCCCATATGTGTTGTATAATAACAAAGAGCACGCGTTATAATCATATATCTTTGAAAGTGACCTACTCGAAGAAATTTCATTGTGAGTTAAGTAGAGCCTTTGTACAAACTTTTTATCATGATGTGTCCTCTCACTTACTTGTGGGTACATAAATTGTTAAATATATATATACACTACTGTATATATATAGACATCTACATTTGTCCTCAATTAAGAATCAAAATGCAGATGCGTTGTCACCATTGAGGACTGAGATGGAGTACCTCGTTTCCAGTAAAAAACGGTCTCCGGATCTCTACAATTACCATACGAAACACAGCAGTATTAAGCTGCTATTTTACGCTGATATTCTGTGAGAGCGTGGTCCTTCCCCGGTCGAGCCGACCCATTCGTGCTACAGCCATAATATAGCTGCAGCGTGGCGCTACCACGTATAAAACATGTCTGTAATATTTAAAAATAATAGTTATTTGAATGCCATTAGGGCAAAAACAAACAATTCTTCATTTTTGTCTGTCGCTCTGTCCGGTCTAATGTTTGGAATGGCTGAACGAATTGTAATGAAACTTTACGAACAGATAGAGAGTAGCGCCAGGAGCATGAACGTACTAAGAACAACGGACGGAGTGCTGTCACTGTACAGATTGAAGTACCGTAATGGCGGCGGGTTTTAATGTATGCGTGTTTTTCAGAGTTGCCAGCTGAAGAAACTTTCCCTAAAATTTTATATTGATATTCACATATAAATATGACTAAATACGTACGTCTTATAATAGTCTATAATAATAGTTTCATAATTTATAAATAATATAAAAAGTAGAAAGTTAGCTTGTATAAGTTAAAATCAAACGAAGTTAGTTAGTTGCCAAAATGTTTTATAGGAACTTAAGCTGACATGAAAAAATACACTATGGTCTTCTATTAATATTTGTATTCATACTTATATAACCTATTATATTTTGCTTATTTAAAATGTAGAAGGCTTAAAAATATGAAATTACGTACGTTTCTGTACACAAAAATTTAGAATTATATTAATTTACTGAATTATTGAGCGGGGCTTTTCTCGTAAATAACGTCAACGATGATCTAGTTGACGAGGTAAATAAAGTTTATAAAATAATACTAAAATCCCTTATGTTGTGTTAATTTTTTGTAATATTGCCTCCTGCTTTCATGTGTTCTTAGAATTCCTTCCATTTTTGATATATGGTGAAACCTAATGGTTAGATACTTTTCTGATATGTATTTTATTAGACTTATTTTGTGTTCTTCTCCCAAGTACATATGCTCAGACTCTAAATTTAAAAACACTTTATCGCTACCTACGAATTTTTCTAGTATTTTAATCAGCATATTATAGCTATGTTGCTTGTCGTTGTATATAGTTATATTTTCTTTAATTACTTTTTTTACCACTATTTCACAGAGCAAACAAATTTCATACACATCTTGTGATGGGAAACTTAAGCCACCTCTAGTTTTTAAATTTATAAGACTGTGAAAAGAGTATTTCATATCAGTGGTTAATCGGGAAGTACAGGCCTGACAATTTATTTTGTTTTTCGCATAGTGTGTTATGCTTCCAGCAAGGTATCCTATTATCAATTTTCTGTAGTCATCAAACTCTGCTAAATCTAACCGCCTAAGCAGATTGTCATCCTCACAGGAGATTTGGTTCATGAATGAAAGTTCAGTTTTATTTTCTTCTTCTTCATGACGGTAGATAGAAATAGTTGTATTTATTATTTGAATAGCGGAAGAACAATTTAAAATTGTTACTTGTTCTAATGGCACACAATTTCCAGTTGTTACGCATCTTATTTCTAGGTGTGCTAGTAGCTTTCTATAGCATCCTTTAAATTGGCGCACGTTCGGATTATCGTTAAAACCACCCGCATTCTTATACAAGAAAAGAACATTTCCAGGTGACCCTGACTTAACTTGTACGTAGGCATAAAGACTAATGTATTACTAACGATTAGTTTTTGAGCTAAAAATTTTAGGCTTTCTATATTTATCAGGATTCCCATAAAACCAGTCTTACATTTGGCAGTCACGACTGGTTTATTGTAATGTGTGATTACAAAGGTTGTTCTTCCGTCTTTTTTTGTTTTTCTTTTGGAGGTATATCTTATTTGAATATTTAAAATGTAATCTTTCAATATATCTAAGAAACAAATTATCTGATCTTTATTTTTTGAACAAAGCGGCCTTTTAAAATCAAACTGGTACATACCTTTTGAATTAAAAATATCGAAGAAATCATTAATATGTTTGATGAAAATTTCTGTAGCTTCAGAGTTTTGAAACTCTTCAAGTTTTAATATATTTCTGCAAGCATTAAGAGCTTTTGCGACACTTTCGCTAAAAATTTGTGTGGCTAGCTTTACCTTCATAATATTACTTTTGAAGTTAATGTGTTTTTTAGTTAATTTGTTTCCTAAATGTAAACCTTCGGTTTCTTGCAACTTATTTAGCTCTTGAATAAACTTCCACTGAATCAAATTATCATCTTTGTTAATGAATTCTCGTTTAGACTCTAACTGATTTCTCAACAGTTTTATGACGTGGCTAGGATCTAGGATAAAAGCAATTTCAGAACCATCACTTGGATGTTTAAAAGTAGTTTTTTAAGGTATAGGGATTTAAGTTACAACCAAACAATTCTAAAGCATTAAAATTAGTTGTATGGCCATCGCAAGTTAAACTCACTACATCAACATTAGAGTCAAAACATTTTATGATACAGAGTTTTATTAAATTAGCTTTTTGCTCACCTGAAAAAGAATTGCTCAAAAAATAGCCTAATGGTAATTTAAATCTTTGATTGATACCAACCAAAAGAAAAACCAAGGCTTGCGAGGCCAACGGAGCACCTTCTTCCGCAACTGTTCCAAAATCTTCCAGTCCTATATATTTTTTCCCGTCCCAAATTTTTTGTGGTCTTATAGCAACCTCATCATAAGTTAATGAACACAAAAAGTCGGTGCTCATTTACCTGAGACTTAGCTTTTAGTGCCAAGAATGATTCCTCCGTAAAACCGGGGTCTCCTTTAAGGTGACCATACCATTTGGATAAGGTCTTTCTGTGAGGGATACACGTATTAAAGTTTTGCCTTACATAATCGTATGCTTTTGGGGAGTAGTAATTTAAAGTCATACAAAATTTACGCATTACGGGTGTATACTTAATATTTTTATGTAACTTTTTTTTGTTATAAACATTGAAAAGATTTGCAGCCACAAGATCTTCATTGAGTTTGTTAAATAAATCTGTGTCGATAAAATTTTCATTCCTAAGCGTTTTTTTAACAATATTTTTAATGAAGTATTTTTATTTTTAAGCCTCCTAATTTTCTGGTTTAAAATTTTTATCTTTTGTTTTTGCTGTGAAATGTACAAATCTTTCTTTATTATTATTTTTTTCAGACGTTTTTTCTTAGGAGTGTATAGGATTGACAAAGGTTGTTCAAAATCTGTTTCCGTTGGTGCCACATCAGTTGCATCCTTAATAAATAAAAAAACACTTTTAGCATTACATAAAAACCACACAACGTAAACTTACAGCATGTGCATGACTATAAATTAACTTACGGTATGGAAAGGTGCATCTGTGGAATGTAAAAAATCTGTTTTATTGATCAATTTCTCAGCTTCAAAAGAGATCTAAAAAAAAGAAAATTTTAGAATTACATATAATCATTATAGACAAACTATAAGTGTTTATATTATGTTACTATGTAATAAAAAATAAATTAATGGCTCATGAAGGTACTATTAAAGAATAATGAAACTGTCCATTTTTACCTCCGAAACAGGAGTGTGCCCTTTGAATTCAATAGGAAGAAGTCTTTCTTCATTAGAAAGTGCATGTCTATCCAACGATTCCTAAAAAGCAATTAGAATAAATTAAAGTTTGTTAAGTTTATCGGAATAAGCATTTAATTAATGTTATGTAAGCTTATAATATAAATAATTACTTCAAATGATAATATAAATAATTAATTCCAATACAGCAGGTTGTTCAAATTGCTGTTCGTCACTCGGTGGTTTCCATAAAAACTATAAAAAAAGTTGTAAAATCAAACACATGTCATGATTGATAACATTACACAAACCTTCAGTTATTCAAAGGAACCTTTTGTGGGACGGCATAAGTCACAACGCGTACCAATCCTCCTTTCGTTGTGTACAAATCGCTTGTTTGAAAATGTTCGCTGCAAATAACACTTGATTTTGTTGGATTCCAATCCATTTGTCTTTTACACTCTCTAATTATCTGAATCCAATCTTTTCTCCATTCATTTTCCTTCGGAAACCTAAAAAATGTTAACGAACATTGTTCAGCACTTCGGTGATAAGGGAGATTTATTTTGACACGTTGGAAACACTGGTAATCACTTTAATGTATCTATTAATTAAGTTAATTTAATCTCATGTATACTTATTACTTATTTTTTTATAAGGTTATGGAAATAAAATTTCAAAAGTTGGCAACATTAATTTCGTCAAAGAAAAATTTTGTTACATAGATTACGAAAAGATATAATTAAAAATTTATCAAAATAATGCGTTAAAGAGTGTACTTACCTGTGAAAAGTGATTCCTTGTTTTTTTTATCACGTAAAGTGCTACGGGAACAACATTTTACGACGCAGGTTAGCATAATTAAAAAGTTATTTCGATTAGTTATTGCGTGTGTCCTTCTTCAACGCTAGCAGTGTAATGGCGGACGCCGAGCTTACTATTATTTGAATGTGTGGGTGTTAACGTGTAAATAAACGTTATCGAGCTTACTATGGTGCTTCAATATGATAGTTTACGGAATTCCGTCCGTTGTTCTTAGTACGTTCATGGCCAGGAGTGGCTTAGGCTATCTTTTATCCGATAGATTTTTTTTAAAGAGGACAATTTTTTACGGTAAATTGTCTTCGAATGTCTTAAACCTAAATAACGCCATATATTAATAGATTTTACCCAGGCGAAGCCGGGCGGATTGCTAGTCTATATGTACATATACATACATATACATAAAATTGAAGCGTTTGTAATATATAATATGTGCATAAAGCTCACCAGACGGCTCTTGTTGGGAATGAGGTGAACTTATTTGTTACACAATGTAATTTTAATTGAGAAATTGTGTTTTAAATATAAATTTATCGGTTTCTATTGTGTGTAGGTAAATACACAAAATATTTCCTCAGTGGTTTGCTATTCAATTTTGGGAGGAACATCCGTACTTTAAAGTAACCATTTCTAATAAAATTAATACAAAATATAACTAACATTTCAGAAACAAGCATTAACCTTACATTTTCCGAACAAATTAACTTCTCCTGTTATAAAATCCGAATATAATATCTTATAGTGGCGGTAGGGTTGAAAGATGGTCGATATTCGTTTGGATTTTTCCAACATTTTCAATGATCTTCAGTCTCCCGACAAAACTCAAAATCTCCAGACAAACAGTATCTCGGAAAATTAACGTATGGCCTTTGATATAATAAAAGCTGAGTTAGTTGAACAATTTAATGAACTTTGAAGTAAATTGTTTGAGTTTTAAATATTTTCTGAATACTACTAAAGGATCCAAATTGGTGAACTCTAAAGTCCAATGCAACCTAAAAATTAAATGTACTTAAATTAGTTTTGTTAATACTTTCTGTGGCCTCTTAATTTAATATTTATTTCTGCCGACAACAACCCCAAAATCTCGAAATTTGAACAATTTGTCCAGATATTCTCCGTCCAGGTCTTCCGATCTGGCAAACCTAGTGGTGGTTCAATAATATCCACCACCCCATATCTTCCCGTGGGTGTCGTATGAGGCGACAGAGGGAAACAAATCAGGAGATGGGCAGCAGCTGCTTCCTAATAACGACTGAAAA